CTTGGCCAATGAGAAAAGACTTACTGCCATGTCATCTATTAGTAATCCCATGAATTGCACACTAACTTAAATTTAACTTGAATTTACTTATATTTCTCTTATAATGGCTGAATATCCCTTAATCAATTTTTGCTTGAATTTTTTGAATTTTTTATCAAGATTCAATAATTCTTACTCCTTAGGTTTGACAAAGTAAATCTTGCATAAATTCATCAATCTAACTTTAAGATTTTCAAAAATCAACATGAACACATCAACAACAATCCAAGATTACTTTATATGTACCAAAAATCATCCAAGATTGATAAAAAAAATCCAAGATTCTTCAATATTCACCAATATTCAATCTTTTCTTCAAGATTTCCTACAAAACGGTAAATTAAACACATTAGGAATAAAAAAAAAAAGCTTATTTACCAAAAGCAAAGTAAAAGTAACTCATTTAAACACTAAAGACAAGTCTAAATAATTATATTTCATAGAGTTAGCAATGAATTAAAAAAGTGATTGAAAAAAGAGAAGAAGTTAATGGACAGTGGACGATTTTAAGCTGAAATCAGAAGAAATGGGGTTGTGTCGATTTTAAGGTAGTTAGCATGGTAAAGGTTAGGTTTTGATAAGCGTTTTAAAGGACTAACATGAAACCAGATTGAAATTTGAAATCAAAATAATAGAAACCAAAAAAGAATGTGGGATTAAAATAGTGATAGAGAGATTTAGGTAAGAAATATGAAGAGAGAAAATAAAGAAGTTTTATTTTTAAAGGTATTTAATGAAATAAAATAGAAGAAAAAATAGGGAAATAAGTTTTCTTTGGAAAATTTAATGAAATGAAGGATGAGTTGAAGGAATTTGACAAAGATAGAGTTAGGATTTATGAGAGTGAGTTTTTAGGAAGAATATCAGAGGTGTTAGAGAAAAAAAAAAAGTGATTTGGTTTTGAAAATTTGTGATTTTGCTGCTACCAAAAAGGGAGATTAATCTTAGAATATGATAGATTGATCTTTTCAATGGGGATTAATCATAGTTGTTAATTTTGTTTAGGTACCAATCATATCTACCGGTACGCTCCAATTATATCAAAACATGGTATGCTTAAGAATAATTTTTCGTACTGGATTTGATACCGGGTAATACTAATTGTTTTTGTTAGTTTCAGACTGTTTTGATGAATATCGATGGAATAACATGTTTCGATCTGTACATGAATGTGAAATATATTTTGTAATTTTTAACTTATCTTTTGTTATTTAACTATTTTTAACCTAATAAAAATAAAATTAATTGGAAAAATAATCCTTAAAAGTTGACTCTTTTTTTTTAATTATTTTAACTTGTTTTTTATACTTTAGTCCTTCATCCAAAGCTTATAATTTATAATTTATGTTTTCAAATCAAAGTTTATAAGTATTTTAGTTTTTTTCAAGAAAACAGTTATACTCCATTTATAAAAGTTTGACAATCTTAAAATTTTGATTAATTTTTTTCATCTTTTTGTTTTTATCTTAATATTATATTAAAAAATATTTATTTAAATATCATATGATCAGTTTAAGTTTTTAAAAATATCATGAAAATTTTATGATATTATTTCTTATGTTTTTAAATTTATTTATTTGATTTGCATATATTGCATATTTATTGTGTGGGTTATTAATAATATTATAACGTACAAGTTCAAGCATGTTTATAAATATATTTGTACTAAACTGAAAAATCCAAAATAATGTACCAAAACAACTGGTATCAATATATACTATATTTTTTTAAAAAAATTGAAATATTATCCAGTATGATATTAATAACTTTTGAATTAATCTTTCATTTAGAAAAGATTGATATTCTATTAGGTTTCTTTTTTATTTTTGCAAATTATGCAAAAGGGGTCGATCCTATAAACAAAATGATCCCATACAGCTAACAATTTCCCTATGCCCCATCTATTTTCACATATATTACTTGTGTCACGTGACAATTTTTCATTTATCTTATTGATGTCACACGAAATTTTATCTTAGTTGACAAAAGAATTAATAGTATTAACTTTTTCATCCAAATAAAAGCTTAATTAGATGTAAATAAATGTCAGAAGTGTTGATTAATCTTATATAAATATAAAAAAACCAAAACCTTTGGCATAAAAAGAAAATATCTATTGTAGATGACCTAATTTATTGGCATATGGACTATCTTATATTTTGACATGTGTACTTATTTTAATGCATAATACTTAATTTTAATTCAAGCATTTAATTGAATTAATATAAATTATCACCTTAATTAAACATTTAATTATATTAATATCAATTATCAACTTAATTATCTTTTGATAATTCCTAATTTAAAGACTCAATTTTATTCTTTGAAGTCCATGTATATTACTTTGAATTTAATTCTTTTCAACTAATTTAAATTCAAAACCATATATATCATCTTTATTTGGTAATCTCTAATTACATTTAAGCACGATTTCCTTCAATATTATTAATTGAATTAAAAGTCAAAATTGTATAATGTTGTCAATATTCATTTTTAATTGTATAAATTAATTAATTAAAAGTTCAATTTATCTTAAATTACTCTTAATAAAATTAAATTACTAATTTTAAATATCCAATTTGAACATTATAAATAGGTATGTTGTGATGCATTAAAGTATTGGTTTTGAAAGTTTGCTAGCTCTTCAAAAAAATTTTAATTTTTATTCTTTATTTACTTCATTTATTTGGTACTTACTTCCCTTGATATTATTTGTATTTTTATTGTTTAATTAGTCTTATTTATGTTTATGATGCTTACTTTGATTAAGTCAATTTCTTATTATGTTTTATTTAAGTAGTGCAAATTAATATAAAATATATAGTCATTCATTCTTAGGATTATGATTCTGGTTTTAGTGATTAAACCATGAAGTAGTAAATTTGATAATAAAAGTGATTCTTTAAGTTTGCCATTTAAAGGGTTGAGATCGTGCTCCTTTGTTGATATTGGTCAAGCTTTATTATTATTTTTAAAAGGATGGCTATGTTAGTGAGTAGGATGTGTAATACTTTCATAAGGTTATAGAAAAATATAGAGTTATCCATGTGAATGAAATGAATGACATCAATTGGATTCCTCCACTTGTTAGAATTATTAAATTAAATTTGATGCTGCTTTTGATAAAATAGATAGTGAGTGTAGGAATATCAATTTTATCCATACCCAATAGTGAACTTGACCTTTTATCCGAATGGGGATGGGAATGTGTATTCTATTATGAGTATGGGGATGGGATGGGAATATGTATGATTTTAAATTTTTATTAGGTGTGGAGATGAAGACAGGTAATATAGTATCCACCCCTTACTCGTACCCTATACATATTTATATAAATTTAGTAAATAGATTTTTAATTAAATAATATAAATTATTATTTTAGATTAATTAGAATTAATTTATTTTTATTAAAAATATATATTTATAAAAATATACCTAAATATACAAGATAAAAATTAAAAAAAAAGTTAAAAAAACTTTTAGTTTTTATTAAAAAAGTTAAAGGTGTGGGAATTACCCATACTTATTAAATACCCGCGGAGATGAATATGAGAATAAATTTAAAATATCTGTTGGGTATAGGTATGATAATTGATATAATATAAAAATTCAAGAATATATATAATATAAAAATCTAAGGATGAGAATAAATAATGCTCTACCCTTTCCGTACCCAACCCATCGACATCCCCAAGTGAGTGGTGATACAAGCTACATAAAGGAAAGTTCATCTAAGTTTAAAATTAATCATGTAACAAATTCTCTTCATGCAAAAATGAGCAGTTGCTTTTGAAATTAAAGGTTACCTTTTAAATGGGTGGAATAATACTTGATATCGTTGAATTTACCAAATTTATATTACCTACAGCTCTTAGCATGTGAAGAATGGAGCATACTTTAGCACGTAGTTTATCTAAATTGGAATGTTCATATATATGGTCCAAGAATTTGGTTGGATACATTTTCAAACTTCTTTATGTTAATTATATGATTCTAAATGTCATAGTTCTCTTGAGACTAAAAGTAATTACTTAAAGTAAAATGTAAATTGAAATGATTGACTCATAAATAAATTAGAAGTAATGGTTATTTAATATTATGTCAAACACGTAAAAAAAGGATAATAATAAAATTTTATTTATTTTATTTATTTTTAAATTATAAAAGTTTTTTTTTTAATAATATATCTTGCTAATCAAATAGTTTTTAAATAGCATGCTACTCAAATAGTGAATAGGTAAGAAATCTATTAAAATGCAATATTTTTTAATTAATGAAACTTGATATATATCAATTAATAAATTCACATGTTCAATAATTATGCATCTTTCTCATTTTAACTCAAGTTTCAAAATGATTATGGAAATAAATTATTTGATTTAAAAAAGAACCATTCAAATTGATATTGAAATATGAAAAGAAGATATTTAAAATTAAATTATTTTTCAATATAAATTTAAAATTTAAAATATAAATTGATAAAGACATTTGTCAAATTTTTTAGAATGCTTACATGTCAAAATGTTAGACTATTCATATAGGATGATTATCTTGTTCTAAAAATTTTGATTTTTATATATTTATATAAAAAAATACGTAATAATTATATAATATCTTAAAAATTATTTTCTTATCACAATATACATCGTGCATCACATGGGATTAAAATTAATTGTAATAAAAATTAAAAACTTGATTGATTTTTTAATTATACTTCATAAGCTTTTTATATTCTTTAACCAAAAAAAAATTGAGACATTAGAGTTTTATATTTTATGTATTTTTTGATAAAATGTAAACCTAATAATTATAGATACAACATGATAACAAAATATAAAAATTATATGAAAAAAGATAAAATATGAAAAAAACACTTGAAAGTGATTTGATAAAATATTTTGACAAAACCATATAGCTTAGATAAAAATAAAAATAAAATTGTTTTATGTTTATGTGTCAGGACAGATTATGGTACTATAATTCTGTGTCTTACTTATGTTTAACACAAACTGACACATTAAAAATACAAAAATGTTAGGATTAGGAATGGGAACACTTTTTTTTTTTTTTTCACCATCTGATGGTAGATAGGTGATTGATCGCATTCGTTAGAGGGAAGGCCCTCGATTTTCAGCTAAGGAAGCCCAACACCGCTATCTGCAAGTGACAAATTTGTCGGGAGACGACGTAGTTTCAACTGGCTGGATAATGGATCATGAAACGCTCTACATGACTTAAAAATAAGTACTTTGACAGAGGTAGCCTCGACTCTTTCGTGAAGCTATATGGGAGAAACCAATTGGCCATGGCGCTGAAAGTAAATCAGAAGAACAAAGAAACAATTGTCGAACAAAAACAGGAAGGTAATGAACAACAAAGAGAAAAAGAAGAAGAACGACTGTGGAGCTGGGGAGCAGGCACGGATGGACAGCTGGGCACAGCCAGGCTCGAAGACGAGCACCTCCCTCAACTCCTTAACGTCCCTTCTCTCTCTTCCTCTGGTCCCGTCTCCATGCTTGCTTGTGGCGGTTCTCACGTTGTTGCCTTGACCTCTGGTACCCTCTGCTAGACCCTTTCTTATCTTTTTCTCTTTCCCTTATCTTTTTCTTGATCGATTTCACAGGGAATCAATTATTTTGTTTGAGCAAAACTTGGGTAATGATTTTGTAGGTGGGAAAGTGCTGACATGGGGAAGAGGTAACTCTGGTCAGTTAGGCCACGGGGAGATGGTTAATAGCTTGTTAACTCCAAAGCCTGTATTGTCTTTGGAGAGTTCCTTCATTACTCAAGTTTCGGCTGGATGGAACCACTCTGGATTTGTTTCAGGTTCCTTATAGATTTTTTTTTTTCATTTTATTTTTACCTATATATGAAATTGTATACTGCTAGGAGCCCTGTGTTAGATAGACCGGGCAATTTGGGCATTCATGTCAATTGGTGTAAAATATTCATGTTTTAATCATGTTTCCCTTCTGTTTTATTCATATTTTTTTTTGTTTTGTGTCACCATGATGTGTTTTAAATTACCAAGTCTAGTGTTAGAGATTATTGCCTATACAGCTAAGGTATTTATATTGTTACCAAATGTGATTAACTTGATGGGATTGCTCAGTTTTTCCATTCTAATTTATGCACTTTCTCAATTAACTTCTTAGCTCTTACTACTAATTCTGATATTGCTTCCTGGAGATTATGAATTTCATGTGGCAATATTTTTGTAATTGAGCATGCTACTGGGCTTAGTTTTTTCCAATTACTTTTCAGATGAAGGGTGTGTTTTTACTTGTGGAGATGGTTCGTTTGGTCAGCTTGGGCATGGTGACTACAGGTCACATTGCTCTCCTGTTAAAGTATCATTTTTTGATAATAAGCATGTTGAACAGATAGCATGTGGTATGCGCCATTCACTTGTCTTACTGAAAGGTAAATGTAAAATAAAATTAGCTGTGCTGCTAGTAGTTTTAAAATTCTGCATGAATAATTTATCTTTCAATATAGAAATTTATGTTTCTTTTTAATCTTTTGTGCATGTCTGCTTGACTTGAGTCTGTCTTTGATCATTTATATGTTCACTTAACCTGCTGAAAACATTATATTTTGTTATTTCTCATTTCATTTACAGGACAAAGTGTAGCAAGATGAATAGAAAAGCTACATTTTTTTTCACAATTTTAAGAGAAAAACTGTTTGTGACTTATACCAGAAATAAATAATTTACAGCTTTAAATCGAACATTTATGCAAATTGATGAACTAAAATGAAGCTTTGTTGGATACGTTCTGCCTAACCTTTTGATGAATTGGAATTTCTGAGAATTCTAAACACTGAATAGGGAATCCTACATGACTAAAAGCATAGTTTTTCTCTCTTGGATGCTTGGTAAATATGAAAGAAGACTAGATGAGTATCAGTTGGAGCTTCAGCTTAATAATTCTCATTTACATCAGTCTCCAACAATCATGATGCCTCTCTGCAGATAGTTCAGGAAATCAACTTTTTGGATTTGGATCTGGAAGGCGTGGTCAACTGGGTATTTCAATAGATAGAATCAAGTCAGTTAATACTCCTCAGGTTACTTGTGGATTTGAAGTTGTTAAAATCATTAGCATCAGTGCAAATGGAGACCATAGTGCAGCATTATCTGGTGAGTACACCCCATTAGCAGAATATTTGTAGCATAAAACATGTTGGATCACAAGAGTAAACCTTTTATCATGCATGCCAACCCCATAAACAGTGAACATGAATATAATTTAGGTCCAATTACAAGTTGTTCATTTAATTTAAACTACCAAGTAACTCTTATTATTGTTGTTTCTTGTCTGTTACACCAGCTGATGGACAACTGTACACTTGGGGAAGAAGTTTTGGTGCCAATTCAGATTTTCTCAGTCCTCAACATTTACCTTCACCATTGCAGTTTTCTAAAGCTGTGCTTGGTTGGAATCATGCTCTAGTATTATCTGGTATACACGCACAGTTAATCAGTTATGGTTTACCCTTTTACTTAAGCTATCTGCACCTGACTTACTGTTAACTTCTCCCCACTCCCCCCACCCCCACCCTCAAAAAAATGCAAAAAGAAAGGATCAAGATATGCTAAATTTCATGTTTATGACATCTTTTTCATTTTGTAACAGATGATGGACAAGTTTTTATGCTTGGCGGTAGCCACCATGGAGTCCTAAGCAATCCTGAGAAAGTAACTCCTTCAAAGCATTTATCTGGTAATGCATTTGGAAAACTAAGACAAGAAGAAATTCTATAAACTATAGTGCAACAGAAGCGTTACTATTAGGGTTGATTTTTATGTATATGCGTTAAAGACGCACATCTTAAAATGTTATCATTGTTGGTTTCTTAACTATTAGAATGGGAATTGTACCCAAAAATGAAATGGGAATATATGCATTCTCTTTTGAAGTTTTCTTTCAGGTTTGGCAACTTTACGTCCCTCAGTTCAAATGCAATTGTTTTGGTTTTGGAAAATATAGGATCACCTGTTTTGGAGAGAGTCCCTGGTCTCGATGGGATGAAAATTGTGCAGATTGCAGCTGGAGCTGAGCACTCTGCTGTTATAACAGGCAAAGTCTCGTCAACCTTTGTCTTTGTTTTATTGCTAATCATAATGTTTACTGATTTTTCTTTCCTACTTGTGCTTTGTTGCAGCAGAGGATGGAGTGATTAAGACATGGGGTTGGGGTGAACATGGCCAGCTTGGTCTTGGGAGTACATGCGATCAAAGTAGCCCTCAAACAGTTAATTTAAGTCATGAAGTTCTACACAAAGATTATACAATCAGAGTTTACTGTGGGAGTGGGTTTACATATGCCATTAGAACGCTCTCTTCCCTTTCTTAACCCTGATACGTTCTGGTTAAGTTCAAAGATCCCTTATGCTATATGCCTTTTCTACAAACATCAATGGGAACAAATTTTTCTGCTTGTATAACAAAGAAAGAAGAGGAAAACTCTACCAAGTACAACCTTTTATTCTGTATCTTATCTGGACGGAGCAATTATCACTGTGTCATATGGTATTACTTGAAGGCAGGTGTAAAATTGTCTAACCGTGAGAAAACCATCGCCCAAGTCAAGCACCTGCTGCCCGCGTTGTAATTGTAATGCAGTAGCAGCAGCGGCAGTAATAGTAGTAATGGTAGTAGTACTATTATTTAGATTCTTTTACTATTATTTAGATTCTTTGTGGGATTATATGAATTGTAGATTGAATTCATTTTGTTAAGTTGATATTAAGAGCAGTAAATCACCCATAATTTTTTTTTAAATTCATCATTAGTTATTTAATTATGAACGTATTTTTTAAATAATTATCTAATTATTAAATTTTTGGATTTAATTATTAAAATTTAAGTATTTACGCATGAGATGATGTGATGTTATAGATTTAAAAAAAAATAAATTTTGCTGACGTGATTGTCACTTTTCATAATTGCATTTGATAATTTACGTGAGATTGTTACGTCAACGTGTCATTAGAGCAATGGTAGCTCTTCATTGGAGCCGAGAGGCAAGCCCCCAAAAGTTTTTAAAAATGTTGTATGTATATATTAATATTAAATAAATTTAAGTTAAATTCTCTAAGTTAAAATTATTAATTTATTTTTTGTGATTTTAAATTCTAAATTTATATGTTATTGTAATTTAAAATGATTTAAAATATATTATTATGTTTTTATTTGTTATATTCATAAATCATTATTTATAAATTCTTAAAATTAAGTTAGAGATTTATAACAAACTTTAAATAATAGTCATGTTAAAATTAGCAAAAATTAAATTAACTTTTTTAGCAAGACTCCAAATCTTCAACTAAGTATTAAATATGTGTTTTCTTTTTCTTTCTAGCTTATTACATTGTCTCTCTAGATAAAACTTTTATTTTAATTTTACTCTAGAATTTTATCTCGTACTATTTTAAAATCGTTTTTCAACAAAAAACGAATATTGGAACTGCTTTATAGAAGGTTAAGAAAAAAATCATAAATTCTAGTCTTAAAATTTCAACCTTATTTTCTTAAAATTATATTTATTTTTTTATTTTGATAAAAATATATCGTTTAATGATTGATTTATGATTTATTGATATTCTTTTATTCTAATTTTAAATTTCTAAGTAAATAAAAAATTCTAATAATTCATTGAAAAATAGTGTAATTAGTAATTTTAACATTAATTTAAAACTCTTGTTACCCTTAAAAGTTTAAAGCTATAATACTAATATTTTTATGTTATAATTTTATAAATTAGTTATTTTTTATTAATAGATTTTTTACATATTATGTTTATATGTGTGTATATATATATATATATAAGTTTAATAAAAAATATATAATATATTCTTAATTGATCTCCTCAAATTTATATGTTAAGATCCGACACTATATTAAAGATTAATAGTTGTGATTATGTCATAACTTTATATTTAATTTGGATTAAATTTATCATTAGATAAATTGCATTGTTAATATTGATTTAAGAAAAAAAAAACGATAGGTACAACTAGTTCATAAACAGCCAATCATTACATATGTTATTGTTTTGTCGACCTGCTATTAGAGATTAATGATTATGTGGTAAAGAAAAAACACTTAATGAAATTTTAATAATTAAATTAAAAATTTTAATAATTTACTGATATTTAAAAATACAATCATAATTAATCAATCATATAATTTTTTTTTCATTTTTATAAAGGCTTGATAGACCATTCATTTTTGGACATTCATTTAAGTAATTCTGTAAATATTGGTAATACTAAGACTTAACAAATACCTATTCCTCAACGGAACTATCTCATTTGAACATTAATTAACACAAATCAAATAATGTTTCACTCGAAAACTCAGGCCCGGAAGTCATATTGGTGCCTGAAATGAATGACTACAGCATACTTTATCCATTCGCGATAATTCGTGTATTTATATTATGTAAAATATTGATAATTTTTATAATCATATTTTGTTTTACATAAAAATTACGTGTTACAGTTGTGTCTATACGAAAATATAATTTTTTTTTATTTTGTTAAATTTATTTATGATTTTTTGTTAAAATTTTAAATCATGTCATTTTTATGTCTTTTATTCATATCGTTTTTATATCATGTCACCGTGTCATGTTTGAGATTGTCAGGTCTACCTTCACCTTTCATGTGGTAGCTTTATAATTTGCAGGAAGCTGTCATTATAAAGGATTCAAAGACCATTAAAAGTACAAAATCCACCTCTTCAACCATTAACTTGTCATAATGTGTATGATTCGTGAACTTAATCATTAGATACAAATATGAAGTTGTTATCAAATTTTTTTTATTTAAGTTTGATTGATCACCTAATTGAATTTATCTTTTTTTAAAGAGATATTCCAAGCTTAACTTGGATATCTTTAAAAGATAAATTTTAATCTATGAAATTAGAATTAGATTCATGAATACTGTTATGTATAAAAAATGTTATAATATCCTCATAATAGCAATCCAAAGAATGGTACCAATTGATTTCATGTTATCTAAACCTTAAAACATGGTTGTAAATTACCCATAAGTTTTTTTTTTTAAATACATCATTACTTATTTAATTATGGTCATATTTTTAAAATAATCTTTTAATTATTAAATTTTTTGATTTAATCATTAAAATTTAAGTATCTACGAATAAGATGATGTGACAATGTCACTTAGCATTGTGAATGTGATGTTATAAATTTTTAAAAAATAAAATTTGCTAATGTGATAATGTTGCTATGCACAATTGCATTTGATAATTTATGTGTTAGTGCTATATCAACTTGTCATTAGAGCAATGGTAGCTCTTCATTGGAACCAACGGGGCAAGGCCTCCAAAAGTTTTTTAAAATGTTGTATGTATATATCAATATTAAATAAATTTAAGTTAAACTCTCTAAATTAAAATTATTAATTTATTTTTTTGTGATTTTAAATTTTAAATTTATATGTTATTGTAATTTAAAATGATTTAAAATACATTACTATTCTCTATTTATTATATTCATAAATCGTTATTTATAAATTCTCAAAATTAAGTTAGAGATTTATAACAAGCTTTTAAATAACTGTCATGTAAAATTAACAAAAATTAAATTAACTTTCTTAACAAGACTCCAAATCTTCAACTAAGTATTAAATTTGTGTTTTCTTTTTCTTTCTAGCTTATTACAATATCTCTCTCCATAAAATTTTTAGTTTAATTTTATTCTAGATTTTTATCTCATACTATTTTAAAATCATTTTCCAATAAAAGGGAAGATTGGAACTGCTTTATAGAAGGTTAAGAAAAAAAATCATAATTTTTAGTCTTAAAATTTCAACCTCATTTTCTTAAAATTATATTTATTTTTTTATTTTGATAAAAATATATCGTTTAATGATTGATTTATATTCTTTTATTTCGATTTTAAATTTCTAAATAAATAAAATAATTCTAATAATTCATTGAAAGATAGTGCAATTAGTAATTTTACCGTTAATTTAAAACTCTTGTTATCCTTAAAAGTTTAATGCTATAATACTAATATTTTTATGTTATAATTTTATAAATTGGTTACTTTTTATTAATATATTGTTTACATATTATGTGTGTATGCACACATATATATATATATATATAAGTCTAATAAAAAATATAAAATAAATTATTAATTAACTCCCTCAAATTTATATGTTAGGATTCGACACTACATTAGAGACTAGTGGTTGTGATTGTGTTATAACTCTATATTTAATTTCGATTAGATTTATCATTGGATGAATTGCATTGTTAATATCAATTTAAAAAAAAAAAAAACCCATAAGTTACAGCTAGTCCATGAATAGCCAATCATTACATATGCTATTGTTTCATTGACATGCTATTAGAGATTAATGGTTATGTGATAAAAAAATACTTAATGAAATTTTAGTAATTAAATTGAAAATTTTAATTATTTAATGATATTTTAAAAATACAATCGTAATTAATCAATCATATAATTTTTTTTTTCACTTTTATAATGGCTTGATGGACCATTTACTCTTGGACATTCATTTAAGTAATTATGTAAACATTCGTAATACTAAGACTTGACTAATACCTATTCCTTGACCGAACAATCTCATTTGAACATTAATAAACCCAAATCAAACAATGTTTCAGTCCAAAACCCATTTGGAAGTCACATTGGCGCCTGAAAAGTGGATGAATGGCCATGGAATACTTCATCTCTTCGGTTAAGTCTGATAAATTTGTATATTTATGTTATATAAAATATTATTAATTTTTATAATCGTATTTTATTTTATACGAAAATTACGTGTTATAGTATGTGTCTATATAAAAACATGCAATATATTTTTTTGGTTTTGTTAAACTTATTTATGATTTTTACTAAAATTTTAAATCGTATATCTTTGTGTCTTTTATTTATATAATTTTTATATTATATCATTATGTCATCTTTGAGATTGTCAGGTCTACCTTCTCCTTTCATGTGATAGCTTTATAGTTTGCAGGAAGCTGTCGTTATAAAGGATTCAAAGACCACTAAAAGTGCAAAATCTACCTATTCAACCATTAACTTCAACCCTTGTCATAATGTGTATAATTCGTGAATTTAATCATTAAATATAAATATGAAGTCATTATCAATTTTTTTTTATTTAAGTTTGATTGTTCACTTAATTGAATTTGTCATTTTTGAAAGAGATATCCCAAGTTTAATTTGGATATCTTTAAAAAATAGATTTTAATCTACGAAATTAGAGCTAAGTTTGAAAATACTGTTATATGTGAGAAATGCTATAACACCCTCACAATGTCAATCCAAATGATGGTATAAATTGATTTCATGTTATCTAAACCTTAAAATATGGTTGTAAATTTACCAAGTAAATTTAATATTAAAAATTAATCTTAAAATTACTCTAATAGTTTGGTAGTAATTTAAGATAATTTTTTTTATCTTAAGAGTACTTATGGAGATCAATGTCTCACTTTGAAAAGACTCTATTGTTGAATTCATTAATGTATTTTCTTGAACAAAAATATTTTTCTTTAAAAAAATGATAAATAAAATTCTCCAATAATTTAATAAGATTTTATTTCGATACATATCTCTAAATAGTTTAATGAGATTTTTATTTAAAAATTTATCTTAAAAAAATTATTAAATCTTCTAATAGTTTGATAAGATTTAATTTTGAGATTTAAATCCTCCAATAGTTTGGTAGGATTAATTCAATGCACATCCCCAATAGTTTTGGTACGATTTTTATTTGAAAATTTGTTCAAGAAATTTTTAAAAGGAATTATTAAATTTTTCAATAATTTGATAAAATTAAAAAATTTATTTTTTCATAAAAACTTATTAAGTCTTTTAATAGATTGGTAAGACTTTAAAAATTTATATTTTTACTTTCTTAATTAAAGCATTAAAATTGAAATATACATAAAACAAGAATAACAAAAAATAAAAATTACCGAAACCTGAGGTTACAACCCAAATAAAAAGAGGTTCAAGGGCATATGCGGGCCAAAGAAGCATTTAAATGGCAGAGTTGGCTGCATTTGGATTTGGGTTCATTGAGCAGACCATGGGCTTAAAGAAGCATGAGTATTGTAAGCATTCTCTTATATGAAATGAAATGAATCCCCTCTCCTTGAAATTTCTTGTTCTCCTCTCTAGCCTTCTTCTTTGTTTCTTTCCCTGTTCTTTCATTTTTTTTTTTTTTTATTTTAGTTACAAAATTTGTAGTCAGTAAGAAAGGGAACGCATCATTAGTATCAGAGCCTCCATCTTGGCAATGGGTGAAGTGATGAAGACCATATTTCAGATTGATGACACTCTGCTGCAAGAACTAATGGAGCGCTTCGAATTCAGATTGAATAGTATGTTTGATCAGTTGCGTGAAGCTATTGGATCCCACCTGAAAAGTATGATTTCCCAACTTAACCAATTATCTGCTAATCTGGACAATATTAGTGAAGCGATTAGTGATTCTGAGGTGAATATAGAAGAAAATGATTAGCAGATAGAGCGGAAACCATCTATGGAGTCAATTGATGATCTCTCCTTCTCATCGTTGTCCTCCAATATTGATTTACCTGTGACCAGTAAGTCCTTACCTTAACTTGCAGGAGTTAGTTCAGTATTTAAGCATGATGAATCACCTAATTGTATGGTTGTCGGTGTTTTCGTGTTAAGGAATGTACAGTTTTTTAATGTTGGAAATAGGTTCAGGACTTTTGTGGTAGTAGATAACAGAAAGGGTGCCAAACCTTCCCTTGTAAGGGTTGTTGATGTTCGTGGAACAATAGAAAAGGCTTGTTCAATAGTGTTTATAGTTGGAAATAACCTTGTTCTTTGTGATCCTTATGGGTTTAGACTTCTAGTAATGAGAAAGATTTGGGGTGATGGTTGGGAAGCTGACTTTGGAAAAGTTAATGACGGAAATTCATGCTTGTCGTCATTGATCACAATCACTACACTTTTCGGTTTGAATTTTTTGATTGAGACTTGCCTTGTTAATAGTACTGTTATTTGTTTGGTATTCAAACACTCTTCCTGTTACCTTTATTTCCTGGAGGATGGCATTGCTAGTCTAGTTGCCAAAGAGCAATCTAATTCATTTGTGTTAATGATTGTCAGAGTTATCAGTTCATATGTTGTTGAACAAGTTCAACTGGCACTTGATAAGCTTACTTTTGTTTATAAGAGATTCAACAACCAAGTGTTGTTGTTTGAGGAGCCCTTACTTGGGGTAGTTTCATTACTAACTACTATTTGGAAGCTTCAGTCATCTACTGAATATTCGATCAGTTTATATCTGGAGTTTCTTTTGCTTTCTTTAGTGGAAAAGTGTTATAAAACTGATCTGTCCATTTTAGAGGAAGATATTTTCAAGGTTAATCAGCCGAGGAACTTTTTCTCTATTGTTGTTATGAGGGAATGATATGTCTTAGACAAAAGCAGTTTCGGGAAGCACTGGAACTTCTACACATTGTTGTGATTGCTCCTATGTCTATGATCAATGCTATAGTTGTTGAGGCTTACAAAATATACATAGTGGTCGCTTTTATTTACTATGGATAGTTTTCTACCAGTCTCCCTAAGTATGCTTCTTCAGTTGCTCAAAAAAATTGGAAGAAGCACTCTGAGTTCATTAGCTATCCAATTTACTTCTGGGCCGACAAGACAATTGAGATAAAGATTGGTGATGATGAAGACAATGGACCTAAAGAGAATGATAATGAAGCTATATGCCTTCGAATGGTACTGGTCTGTGAAATGCTTACTTGTCATATGGCCGTAGACAAGCTGTTCATTCCTGGGGTTTGGGAACTATTTTGGTCAACAATGGTTCCTGTGTGCTGGCTCACAGTAGAGGGGTGGAGTGCTACTGGTGTATAATTGGATTACATGAGTAAAGATCATGTTGCTTCTCAGCTTGCAAATTGCACTGTCTCTCAAAATACGTCATTGATTCTGTTACAGAACAATATGCTAGAATCAATGATGCGTGAGATGCAGTGTTTGTTATGTGTTACTGGTGCTGGAAAATTACACCTTGAGCTCTGTTTCAAGAATTTACAAAAAGATTTCTGGATGATATTGAGATTATCATACCTGATCCTTTTGTGCCATTGTGTGAGACTATCTTTGAGAGGTCTTACAGAACTATGATGAGCAAGTTTATTAATAAGCACAATCAGTGGCCGACAGATGAGGAAACAGTGGCTGAAGATAACATGAGGAATAATTGCCTTGAAGTCTTTGATGTGATTCTCTATACTGATGACCTCTACCAAGTTGGTGGTCATATCTATTTCATTAATAGGAGGGTTTCCTGTGCTTTTCAGTTTATGGCCAAGCCAGGGCTTCTGAAGCTACTTGCTTGGGGGAGAATCAAGCTCCTGAGCAAGCACTTGATGGGTTTTTCCTTGTCTTTAACTAGAAGTCTAGAAATGTATTATACTTGAAATGGGTTGTCCAACCTGTCGTGGTCACTTGTGTTGTGCACAGTATGATAGACAAACTAGAACCTACTAGTGTTGAAGCAACTGTTGTTGCAAATACTCAATTGGAAGTTGCTTGAGTTCTGTTCAAAGATCTTGCTAGTGTTCCTTACAAGAGTAGCAACGTAACAGTAAAAACATGTGCAACAGTGCTTGCAAGAACACTGTTAGAGTAAGATACCTCTCATCTTGAATATGATGTTACCAAAAATGAATATGTTGATATGATAAAGGCTGGTATTAATAACCCATTAGAAGTAATTCGAACTACTTTGGTTCAACTTGAAAGTGTGACATCATTGACGACAACAACTGAAGCTGTCCTAGTTAAATCTCCAATGGTGAGAAGGATGTTCCAACAATGCAGCGTGGTTGGGGTATCCTGTCCTTCGATCCTTGAGGACAAGTATCTTCTCAAAGTAGGAAGTATTGATACGTGCCTATTTTATTGTATTGTAGTTTGGGCTTAAAGAATTAGACCAATTACCTATATGGACTGCTATTTCATTTCTTTGCATGTATGGCCTGTTAAGGTCCTTATTCAAATACTATTTTCCTTAGTGTTAGATGGGAATAGAGGCTGTCTTCCCCGATATTCTTGAGATGCAGCTGCCAACGAGAATGAGCAGCACAAAAGGGAGAAGCACGAGTATTGTAAGCATTCTGTTTTGTGAAATGAAATGAATCCCCTCTCTCCTTGAAAATTCTTCTCCTTTCTAGCCTTCTTCTCTATTTCTTTCCCTGTTCTTTCATTTTTCTATTTCAGTTACAAAATTTGTAGTTAGTAAGAAAGGGAATGCATCATGTTGCTGGTTGGATACTTGGATCCGGTATTAACTGGTGGAATTATGTTAATAAAAGCAATTAAAAAAACTAAGATTTCTGTTGGGTTGATTGTTTATTGCTGCGAATTTGTTTCGGGTATGGGGTTGTGTTGTGGTCACGTGTTTGTGATTTTTCTTCAGGAAATTTGGACAGAATGGAGTTGACAGGGAGGACTCTCGATGGGTAGTGGTGGAGGGATAGCAGTGGGATGATGAAGCTGATGGAATGAGCTTTTAAGTGGACTAGGTAATGGTTGAAATCGAGTGAATGATGATGGCTGTTGGATTTTTTTGGCCGTGTTCTGGTCTCTGTTCGTGGGTTGTGGTCTTTACCTCTGTGTGTGTGTGGCTGCCCTCTGTTGCCTGACGGTAGATGGCGGTTGTAGAGACTTGAATATAAGCACTGAGTCCCCATTGTGATGGAATCCCAGGTCAAAAGAAGTTTATCATCTTACCATCATCTGTATTCAGCTCAATCTTAAACTTTCAATTATCTTAAGTTTAGTTTCCAAATGAAATTCAATCAGAAGATAACAACAAAGCTAAGTAAATAATTAAGTAAACAAAAAAAAAAAAAGATTTACACATAAAAAATATATTTAGACATTCGGGCGTAAGATCGAACTAAATGCAATAGGTTTGGACTTCTGACTAAATGAAATGTCTACAATACTAATCCTTGAAAACCAAAAGCCCCCCAAGAAAAGAATATTAGAAAAAGAAAGAAAAGGAAAAAGATGATGAATGCTGCAGTTTCATTTATAATAGGAACCAACGGCTACAAGAAAGGCTTGGCTGCAACTCTAGCTTCAATCCAGGAGTGCTTAAGCTCCGAGCCTCCCTGACAGACACCAACTTCACAGATGGATCCACCTTAAACCTTGATGACCTGTTACTTTTCGTTGAGAAGCCTGGTTCTTTCATCATCGACTTTGACATTCCTAACTTCGTTTTTGTTTCCCCAGAAAATTGCAATATTTTTGTGCGACGAAAATGATTGCAAAAAAACTGTGATTTTTTTTTTTTAATTCAGGATGTTCAGTTTCAGTTCATGAACACGTTCAAGGTGGAGGGCAAACAGGTAAATTGGATATACATCCACGTGAGGAATGAGAACCGGACAGTACTGCTGTACCCTGTTATTAGATGTAGCCAACAAGTTATCTGGAAGCCATGAGCTCGATTCTGTCAACTGCAAGTTGAAGTACAGCTAAGTGGATAGAGGGTAGACAACGTTTGAGCCCTGCTATGATTTGGCCAAGAAATCTTGGAATTAGCTGTGTCAATGAGAGCACTTGGTGATGATCTAATCAAAGCTAGGGGTGTTAACCGAATTACTTGAATGAACTGAATTAATTCCATTAACCAATGATTATTGAATTAATTTTGATTAGGTTATTGAAAATAATTTTAAAATTTTTTTAATTTTTAGTTAATTTGGTTGATATCGAATATATAAAAATTAAAATACATTAAATGAATAACTGCTAAAGTTTTTAACTTAATATTTTTGTATTTATGTATTTTATTGGATGATTTTAGGTTAAAATACTTAAAAAAGAGTTCCTAAATTTTTTCGCTTTATTTAGATAAATCTACACTTTTAATATTTTCAAATAAATCCTTATTGTTTAATTTGTATCCAAATATGCCCTAATTTCAAACAAAAAATTGATTTATTGTTAATGGTGTATTCAAGTACAAATTAAAAAAAAAAGACTTATATAGATACAAATTAAAGTTTAAGGGTTTATTTGATTGTAAAATGAAGGTTAATGCTTATTTGAGTATAATAAAAATATAACGGCTTATTTAAATAAAATAGTAAAATTTTGAGACTTTTTTATTATTTTAGCCATGATTTTATTTTTTTAATATAAAAAATTAGAAATATAAAATATAATTTAATGTTAATGTATTTTATTATTCAATTAATCGAAAAAATTATCGAACTAATTGGATTAAATTCGGTTGGTTAATTTTTAAAACTAATAAATTTGATTCGATTAATGAAAATAAAATAAAATAAAATAATTTGATTAATTCAATTTTGAGTAATTAAATTTGAAATTAATCAAATTAACAATTAAACACCCTTAACCAAAGCTATCTAGGGGTTCTCGAGTCGGGTTTTGGGAGTAGAGTGGTAGTGTAGATCATTGGTCAATGGAGATGGAAGGATTAAGATACATCATTGGTTTGAACTTTTGAATTTATGGGTTTGAGTTGAAGTTAGTTTGATCGTTTCTATCATTTGGTAGCACAAATGTCTTCACGCTTGCATAGTTGATGAGAAGAATTCTCCTCCCATGTTGGAATGTAGTTTGGGTTCAAGTTATCTTTCTGTGGTATCAAGGTGAACTTATTAAGGTTGTGTGGTTAATTTAATATCTGTACCTGTAGAAGCAAAATCAAATATATTGGAGTCTCCATTATATTGTATCATTTTATAACCATTCTGATGCTGGAGATAACGTTTCAAGCAATTGATAACATTGATAACTTCACTCCTATGCACCCACCGCCAAAATAAAAGCTTCTTTTCCTTCATGAAATTGTAAATGAACTACTCCGGTTCTTTAATTTGATTAATGTTATGATAATATGCAACTGATTGAAGCTCCAAATTTTGGCCTCCTAGGTTTCAGCATCTTTCAATCTGGTAGAGGGCTTACACATGCCAATACCTTATTGTCCAGAGTATGTGGCACTTTTAGGCATGATCTCTCAATATCGGCTTACTGTTTCTCCTGATTTAGGGAAATAAATTTTAATAATTTCTATTCGTTTTGATTTTACATAGTCTCTTTTTTTGTCCATTAAAAGGAGATATTTTTTAAGCTTTTTTTGATAAAATTTCTTTTAGAAAGATTCTTTATGAATTGTTTTTCATAATTAAGAAGTCCTAAAAAACACTAAAATTGCTTCTTTTTTTTTCTTCCAATTTTTTGAAAACTCTTTAATTTTTATTATAATGTGATCTTATAATTTAATTCTTTTGAAGGATAAATTTAGTTCAAAAAATTTTAACTTCATTTTTTCTGGTTCTATCTTTCTAAGACTTAAAATTATATTAATTATAATTATTTCTTGAGTTATAAGATTAAAATGTTTCTTATGCTCATTTAAGGTTTGAGAAAATATTAGAATATCATCCATATAAACAGTGCCGAAATCTTTATACTTTGCAAAGATATATAATCTATCTATCTTCAAAATATTTATGGGACATTACATAATCCAAAAATAACATTCCATTCATAATGTCCTTTTAGAGAACTAAATGCAATCAATGGTTTTGATGCATTTGAAAGCATGGTTTTATCAAAATTCTGATATGCAATTTAAATTCACTATAATGTTTAGCATGTTTAACTAAATTAAAAAGTAAATCCTTTCTAGGGATAAAATATTCACATAAAAAACTAAAATTTGATTTAATCTTTTATAATTTATAATCAAGTGAGATTTTTTTTTTTTTTTTTTTTTATATCATGTTTGGTATAGATTATAGGTTTAATTCGAATAATATTTGTAGGATCTGTAATTTGCAAACTACAAAATCTAAGCTTTCTAAACTATAATTTTAGTGATTCTTCACTAAAATTTTCATTTAAAATTTGATATAGTTAGCGTTTTCCACTAATAGCTTTTATAATCATTTGATTGATTTTCTGGTTTGAAACACGTATCACGTATGTTTTTCTATGTTTTTAATAAATGTATTTCTTTCTATACATAGGTGATCTATGGTAAAAATTGTACTTTCAGTTCCTAAACAAAAGGTAAGTATTTATAGATAATTTTCCTAAAAGTATGTCCCATGCGTTAAAAGGATAACGTGAAAATTTTTGGATTACCAATTTTTTTTTTATTGAGTTATAGACGAACATTTTTTGAATTTGTACTATTACCGATATCGTGGATTTAATTGTTTTTAATTTTTCAGGTGCAAGGATATTCCATTGGCATTGGCAGCTATTTATTGTTAGCTCCCATATCTATTAATGTATTTAAAGAATTTAGGTTATGTTTGTTACATAATATTATAACATGATAACATGATATTATGAATAAAATAAATTAAATAATATCATTCTTTCTAATTTTTTAAATACATTATTTAATCTGATCTCATGTTAATAATTTAAATGAATAAATTTTAAAAATGATAATTTTGACCGATAAATAAAATGATTAAACTCTCAAGTTACTATAAAATATTAAGATGCTCAAATTTAATTAATTTGATAAGTCATCATGTGAAAAAAATAAATGTGATGCAATATGTTCACAAGAAGACATCTACCCAAATGTCTCCCTTGAAACCTTTCAATAATGCCATAAAACTCTCATAAGTTTTTTAAATTTTGGAAGAAAAGTAAAAATTTTATCCCATATATTTTTACTTAATTACATTTTTAGATTATATTATTCTTTTTCGTCTCTTAAAATTATAAAGTAAGACTATGTTTCTTGAAGAAAAATGAAGTCTATATAACAAAAAATGACGGATTTAACCAAAAAACGTAGTGTTTAGTTTTTCAGAATTCTTGTTTCAACAAATATAACATAATTTTTCACATATTATGCACATGTCACATCTTATGAAAATCGTGTGTTATTCACGTATCATAAAAATAATATCATAAAAGATTTTATTAGATAATTTTACATTTTTATAAATTAAATACAAAAATTTTACATTTTTTAATCCCATAAGAACCAAAAATCACATATTCTCTTTTAATATTATTTTTTTTTCAAAACCTAAAAATCCATAAACCAAATGCCACCAAGGAAAAATCTTATAGGATATATTATACAATGCCCCTTTTGGTAAAGAATCATTAGAAATTATCATCTTCTACCAGCTCTATTCTACTTGTTTTCAAGAAGGAAAATACGAAAACTAAAAAGAAAAATCAGTTGCATTTACTCCTACATTGTCTTTATGATGAAAAGCTTACCACGCACACAGTTGCATGCCTTCGGAGTATGGCCTCTCCTATGTGATGATCAGTAGATTATTCTCATATCCAGTGTTGTTAACAGTGGGGCGCAAAGGATCAATCTTCCATTCACCATCAACAATGAACTTAATCTACATAAGGTAAAAGTGCTGAGAGACCCATCATCTAATTTAACATTAACAATTTTGAACTGTAACAAAGTTGACTAAAAGACATACCTCATATTTGCCCGGATACAACTTCAAGCGTACAGAAAAAACACCAGTACTTGACTTCTCCATCTTTCTCTGCAAGATATGATCGTAAGCTACTAAGCATAAGAGGAGCCAAAGTTACAGTCATGTTAAATTGTCACATGGGAAGCTTAGATGCAGAGTAGGAGAATGAGTATTCGTCATGATAAAGAGAGAAGTAATGAAGGCCCCTCATGTAAAAGAGACATGCACACTAGTAGTGGCCACAAACTGCTTATCTGAACATCATTAGCACAACAAAAGCAGGGGATTATTTAGTAGAAGAGATCCAACTACCGGTGAAAAATGCTGTCGTCAAATATCAACAAATCATTGTTCTTTCTAAACTACAGAATAATATAAATGAACTGATTTGAATAGAGAAAATACTATTGTTAGTCCTTGGAAGTTAGAACTGAATGCATGAATTCTTGGCTTCTCCAGAGCTAAAACTAAATCTGGGAGTAGAGATACCAATTACACTTGCTTAACTAAAAGCCTGGATCTGTTGAGACTAATAGCTGACTTTACTGTCAAATGTTGTAGCCATGCCTTCGGAGACTTTTTTATGATAATTATATGAGTTGAGACTTTAAGTTTTTAAGTGATGGTCGTTATTGTTAAGGAACCTATTGGGAGACAAATTGTATATAGAGTAGTTCGAGTTGTTTGTATTGTATATATATACTTTGAATTAAAATCAGACAAGAAAGCTTTTTCCAGCAAAACTCTTCTCGCTCTCTCTGTGTTTCTTCTGTTTTTTAATGTGATTTCTAGATCACCAATCCAACAATTGGAAGAAGAAAGAAAAGAAAAGCAAAAGGATGCCAAGGTCAGATAATAGCATGCATGTCAAGCATATCTATCTTTCAGGTGAAACTAACACACCGATACTCCTCTCTATGGAAATAGAAAAAGCAGAACTTGAGAAATTGAATGCAGCACTTCTGGTTGATAATGAGATGCAAGCAAACACATAAAACATAGAGATTTTAAAAGCAATAAGGTATGGCTCAAGCAATGGAACAGAGCCTGGCAGAGAAAACAGTTGAGGTTAATGAGCACTCAACCTACCAAGCAGGAAGCAGAAGTAGGGGGCAAGTTCATTGCAGACAAACAGCCAGTGAACCATACAGTGCACTCAATGAAAGGGGCACACACTGTGTAAGTTCAGGAAATGGGCCCTGTTCTGCTTTACCAAAAGCAAGGATCATTACAGGCATTCACGTCTTTGAAGCATTCTGCACTTAAAGGAATTCTAAGTATCGGCCATAATAAAGTCGCATCTTTTGTTTAACATCTTATTTGCCTCACCAAGCACCTAAGCAGTTAGTGAATTCATGGGTCTAACTTTGGTGCTTTTTCTTTTTTCTAAAAAATATCACAAACTTCTTTTTCCCTAAAGTCTATCAACATAATTACTCATAGAACAAGACTATGAAACCAAACAAGAGCCACAAAAAGCAAAAACAGGGTATTTTTCTTAGTACTTTATATTCCAAATGACTCCTCATTATTCTTTATCAAGTAGACTCAAGAATTGCACTTTAATTAATGAATGCACTGATCAAGAAACATCTCATTATCAATACTGACTAATCTGTTGCAAACCTTGCTTGCCCACCCATCAAATGATCCTGCTAACAGCACCTCCGATGCAGAATTAGGCCACACTATGCAAGCAGTACGAAGAAGTTGTAAAGCTCTATGAGCATCATCAATCCTTTTCTGCTTCTCTTCCACTATCTTTTGCGCATCTCTGTCAAAGGAATGTGGAAATGTGATCCTTTTAAAGTAAATTAAGGTAGATATCTTTTGAAACTAACATGAGTAATGCTTACATTATTGCCAAAGCCATCTTCCCTTCTAAAACTGCCGACCTCGCCCGTATTGACCTCAACTTGTTCTGGGCATTCATTATATCATATTCCTGGAGCTCCCAAGCATCAGAAAGCTTATGCAAATTTTCAGTGGAACTTCCATCACCCTAGGCATCACAGATAGCAAGGTCAAAAAGTAATTGATAACTCAAAATGAATGCAAAGTACGGTGACAACACCAAGAATGGTTTCCAACTAATCCAGAAATGCAACTGAATCTTCAGTCAGAACATGTTGACAGAATAAAGCTTCGATTTCTCTTCATCTTTTTCAAAATACTCCAAGTTAAATTATGCTATAAGCAAACAGATTTTAAATAGAAAGATAACATTAGAAAATCTCATAACTCAAATTCATGAACTACTGATCAGAGAGAAAGAGATTAAGCACAAAAAGTTCCATTCCTTACACTGTCATAAATATCACTTGATTACACTCTCTTCCTTCAGAACATAATCCAGGACTTGAACTACCCACCTCCACCTCTTATACTCTCCTTCCTCTGTTTTTTTTTTTAATTTTTATTTTTCTTTTCTTTTCTTCTTTCATTTCCCTGTTCTTTCTCTTAGCCGTAATGTCTTTGAATAAATTAATTCTTAAGCAAACAAAAGGCAAAACAGAAAAAAAACTTTTGATTTGGTTTCCTGTTCAAGAAAAAAAAGAAATCTGGCAGTACTCACATGAAGCTAACATAGACAAAGGAACAGAAACCATCTACTCACCTCCCATGATAAAGCCTCATCAACGTTAGACCTCAACAACTGCAGTACAGATGAAAGCTCCAACTTCAGGTGCTCAAGACAACTACGTATTTCACTGTGATTAATCTCTTTTCCAGAAGCACGTGACTCTTTCCTTCTGTCTAATTCATTGGATTTATCTCTTACTCTTATTTCAAGTGTCTCATCCCCTGAAATATTTGTTGTCCATTTCATTTCATTGGAGATAATTTCAGCAGTTTTAAGTTGCAATAGTACAAATAGAACTCTATCAAATCCAAACTTCAAATACACAAAACACCTGAACCTAATTGATGGGCTACCTTCAAACTCCTTGCCTGCAAACCCTGCTCTTTGAAGGCCCCACTCTCTCCATGTTGGATTTCTTGAACCATCAATGCCTGAAAGAGACTGGTTCTGACTAAACTTGACCCCGTTATCATTACCTAGGCCTGTACTATTGCTGAATGACACAAGTTTTCTTCTACCAGGACCATCAAATGTCTTTTACAACATAACAAATTCAAAAAGTTATGATTATGACAAACTCCACACCAGAAGGCTGATAATCAAATCAAAGCACATAGAGTCCAGGTTAAAATGGAAGAGACAAAGATAACAGTCATAGAGACAAAATTATGCTAAAGCAGTAGACAAAATATCCTTATTATAGAACACCACGATGCAGACAGATTTTTGTACATATATTTTTTCAAAACCTAACATATAACATAAAATATACAGCTAATATAAGCTAAACAATAAGACTGGGATGCAAGAATGATTTGACATTAATAAAACCAACATACCGCATCCATTGAGGCTTGAGCAATAGACTCTTCTTCACTATCATTACTTTGGGAACAAGTATTGCTACCTTTCTCTATATAACCAAATCCAAAATTCATATTTCTTTCTCTCTCTAAACGACTAAGTATGCCCTCAATCCCACAGTCATCCTCAGCTGCCACTTCTCTGAACAAGCAGAAACATTTGGTCAAAAACCTTGCCAGGATCCAAAACTCCAATGATTCCAACTTTCTTCTTTTTGCTTTATTTTAGAAGAAGATTAATTGGTTCACAGGCCAAAGTATAAACTCATTTGAAGCATCACAGTTAAATTAATAATTGTTTATTCCAAACATGACAAAAATACAAATAGAAAGAAAAAAAACTTCACGAGATTGTTTCTTTTAACATCACAACACATTCAAATAACAGAGTAAATTGCATAAAAAATCCACGATCTTTGGGCAATATTTAATTTTCATCCACAACCTTTAAAACTAAATTTTTTCATCCACAACATTCTAATATGTTTCAAATTCCTCCATTCCATCAATCATAATTAAAATTTGACAAAATTTGCTACCTCAGAGTCACCTGTATGTCCATGTGGGTGTCCACGAGGCAAAACAGTGGACCCCTTCGAGTTTTTCAGCTAAAGTTTATGCCATATGGACGTCTATGTGGCGTTAAAATTTATAACGATGGTTGAGGGAATGGAATTTGAAACGCTTTTAAAACGTTGTGGATGAAAAAAATAAGTTTTAAATGTATTCATGAAAATGAAATACAAAGACCATGGATGTCTGGTGCATTTTACCCCAAATTACCTTTTGCACAAGAATGAAAGAGTAAGCATTTGCAACTATTTGTTCCAAATACAAGACTAAATAAAACTAAAAAGAACAAATCCAACAAGGCATTCATATAACAAGTGCAATAACTAACTTTTCCACCCCAAAAAAAAAAAATAAAGAATACGTCAAGCAAGCCCAAGAATTAAAAATCTCACACTGATCTACCAGACGAGGAAGGTGAGCAAGAATTAACAGCCAAAAAAGAAGTCCCACTACTTTCAACTTCACTTGGAACCCTTTCTTGAAAAGTCTCATCATCCCATTCCCAATCCTTGACACCATCTTCTGGAAACCAAATTTCTTGAAATCCATTATCTTTATCACCATCCAAGTCCCAGCCCATAGCAAGCCACCCTCCTTGTCTCTTAATCCCCTTAACCAGATCCATCCTCCCAGCATCAACCAATTCTTTCTTGCTTGGAAAAACCTCAGGTTTCTTGCTATTTCTCATGAACTCTAATATCTGTGCTTCCAATGCCAAATCCCCGTCGTCGTTCCACCTTTTCTTGCACCAACAAGACCACCAAGAAATCTTTTTCTTCTCTTCTCCAAACATCAAACCACGAACAAGATTCAACTTCAGAGACACCAAATTCCCTTTCTTCACTGGGTTAAACCCGCAGAAACAAGACGGGAAAACCCGAGAACTAATAGATGTTAATAAAGAAAGGGGCGAGACAAAAGTATGGCTTAACGAAGTGAAGGTGGCCATAGTTCAGGCATTTCTCCGAACACTTGCTGAGGGAAAAAAAGGAAATCAAAAACCGCCCAAAGGAATCGATCTTCAGATAACTTTGGCGTGTGAAGAGGCGAGGGAGGGAAACGATAGAAAACATAAATAAATAAATAATGAGAAAGAGAAAGATAGAGGTAGGCCAGCTTCGGCACGTAACGAACAATACTACCAAATGTAACCTTCATTTATTAACGTGGTGCACTCACTGGTTTAGTTATATTTTATGTTGGTGGTTGTCGCATTTTGTCGTATTTAAATAAGGCCGTGTTTCGATACGATAAGGTTGGGCCACAAACAAAATCAAACGAAGGTGATTTTTATTTTGTTGGTGTCGGATAGGGGTGTTTGGGACTTTAGGTAGTTAATTGACAAATTACAATAGTCTTATGGAAAATGACATTTCAGATCAATGTGAATGAGAAGTTGAAGCTTATGTGATTTGTCTGTTTAATAATGACAAAGATTCAGTGTTTTTTTTTTTGTACAAAAAGGAAAATCATATAACTTAAATAATAGTTCGACCCATGCAATAACTAGTTGCATCAAAACACAGCAAGTCCTTAATAAACATAGGAGGTTTCGAATACAACAGAAAAATGACCTCAGTACAAGTAGAGTTAGTTTATAAATTCCTACTTTCGAAGTTAGCAAGGGCATTAACACATTGATTACTCTTCTTGAAGACATATAGCAGTTTGTGATACTAAACTCCTTTAGAAGAGTCTTGCAATTAAAGATCAAAGGTTCTAACATTGGATTAGCAACCTAGTTACTCAAAATCATTGAAACAACAATAAAAGCATCAAGTTCAACTTTAAGGTTTTCATGTTAAGGTATTTTGCCATCAATAACCTATCTTTAAGAACCTAAAGCTCAACTAAGGTATTAGTTCCAACACCAATAAAGCTAGTTGACACAACTACTTATCTTTTTTTTGTGTCTCGAATAATAGCTCCAGCTCTTGCTCCCCTTAGGTTATTAATAGATGACTTGTCGGTGTTAAGTTTACACCAAACTTCCAACCATCAATTTTCATTTAATAGAGATAAAAGATGTGTGACTAGCTTGCACCCATTTTTGGTACATTACAAAGTATTGCTCTACTTTTGTTGTAGCCTTTTTTATTGTATTTGATCTACCCCAAACTCTAAAGACTCTATGGTTCCTTTCAACCCATATCTATCATAGGGTATGAATGAATAGCAAGCTTTAGGGTATGCCTTGGATTCAATGTAACTTACTCATAGTATTCCTTTTGATCCATTCTTTCATGTTATTTGCATGTTGGATAAAAAATGACATGTGTTTCCATATGCCCTTTAAATGCCCTTGGTCATTGGCACTTTAGGAATAGATATTATATATCCTCTATCTCTTGTATACAAAAAACACACCTATCCAATATAGTCAAGCCCCTCCTTAATAAGAATGTTTGCATTGGGAGAATTTCTTACATATATTCCCATATAAAGAACTTAAGCTTAGGGAGAGCTTTAATCTTCCAAATTCCTTCCCACTCATTTTCTTAGTTTTGATGTTAACTTTCTTTGGCAATGTCGCTTAGTATGGTGAATCTCTCTTTTAATAAAAAATATGAATTAGGATAGCTTTTACTATATCCAATATGCTTATGGGGAGTTTAAAAGAAACTAAAGGCTTTTGATGGCTTTGGACTATTATAATGCACTATCAAACATCAATATCCCCTTTATTGTCCTAGAGTGGCATGCAGGACTGAATACTTCTTATTCCCAACCAATTATCAAACCAAATGCTGGTATTGATGTTATTCTTGATGACCTAACCATGCCTTGTTCAACAACTAGTCCACCCATCACATGGCTCTTCATGTAACTAAAGAATTAGAATTTTTGTTGGTGAAGTTATTGTTAATATACTTTGCTTGAAGTGTCTTAACCCACAAACTTTCATCTTGAAGAATAAAGTGCTAGATCAACCTTGCAAGAAAGGCCTAGTTATGGGTTCTTGCTGCTCTCAAGCTAAGTCTTCTTTCACTCTTCCTTTTGGTCACCTCACTTCAATCAATAAGGTTGCCTTTTTTTTTGCCTCCAATATCTCTTTAGAGGAAATTTCTACTAGTCTTATTAAGTTCATTACATATACTAACTGATAAAGCTTTGCACTACATGTAATAAGCTGGAATACTCTTTATGAATAACTTGATTAATATCATCCTTCCAACCAAAGATAGAAGGCCTACCTTTTATCCTGCCAACTTTGATATAATCCTATTCATTATGAAAATGTAGTCATCATTAATCACCCTCCTTTTGTGGGGTAGAAAACCCATATATTTTTTAGATTATTTGTATCCTTAATACCCAACAAGTTGACAATATCACATCTATGGTTTTGACTTGTATTGTTTGAAAAAAAACACCATTGATTTCTTAAGATTGATTTTTTGTCTAGACTCCAAGCAAAAGTTTGATAGAACTTCTTTCGTAATCGACTATTTTCTTGTTTGCTTTGCCTAGCAAACTAATATCATTGGTGAAAATGAGGTGTGAAAATGCTGGACCTTTTCTAAAGGCCTTGCCCTAGTATCATTTTTTTTCCTCATAAGCTTTCGAAATTTGTAAACTAAGGAACTCTATTCACTTGATAAACAAGGTGAAAGTGGATCTCATTACCTTAATCCTTTGGATTGCCAAAACGTTTCTAACATTCCATAATTTAACATAATGGTTACTAATGAAAAGGAGATACAGCTCATGATGAAAGAAATCCATTGTTGTGAAAAGTTAAAGAAAGTCAACAATTTCCTTATGAAACCTCGCTCAAGTTTATCATATGCTTTCTTTAAGTTTAGTTTGACCATCATATGTCTCCATTTACCTTTTTTTTTTAATGAGTAGATTAGCTCCTGAATGGTGATACAATTATCACACCGATTTTTTTCTCGTACAAAGCTCGTTTGGTATGCTATCTTACCCAAAAATGGTCTCAATCTTTGGATCATAATTTTTAAAACAACTTTGTACGCTATGTTACAAACACTTATTGGTTTGAATTGCTCGATTCTTGTAGGCTACTACACTTAGGAATAAGTGAGACCATAGTCTCGTTAGTTCACTTGGCATGGTTGAAGATTGAAAAATATGTTTGATAGTCTCACATACTTTATCTTTAACAATTTTCCAATATCATAGTACAAGAAGGGATAAAGTCCATCAAACTCTAGAGCTTTGTAGGCCTTGAAACTATATTATTTTTGTATCTCGAAATCAATTATAGGCTTTAATAGCTCAAGATGATCTTGACTTGTAAGCTTAACCAAATGTATGAAACCATCTGAATAATTGAGGGCATTATGAATTTGCAATGTGGTGTAAATATTTTGGAAATGATCTAATACAATGGCACCCATCTCCCTCAACTCCGTAATCCATTCGCTTTTTTTGTTTTCCAACCTTAAAATTCTAGCAAACCGCCTCCTAATAATAGTTGTGATGTGGAAAACCTAGTATTCTTCTCCCTATACGTAAATCGATCAACTTTAGATTTAAACACTTAAAGATCTTTCTTGGCTTTAAAGATTTGGTTGTATTCCTCCATCAAGAGTGTTTGTAGGTTTAACAAGAATTGATTTGTTGTATTGATAAGAACTCTTTCAATTCTTGTCAATTGGGTAAGAATTCTTTTTTTTTCTCTAAATATATTTCCATATAGGTTTGCATTCCACCTTTTCAAATCTTCTTTTAAGGTAACCATGGTTTGAGCAATGAAGATTATTCTTGTTTTCAACTACCTTATACTATCGATAGAAACTCTAGATGATTGAACATCATTTCTTGTAATCGAAAAAGTTTAGGTCTTTACTTATGAACCTTTGCTTTCTAAGTTAATGAGATAGGACAATGATTAAAGTAGGTTTTAAAAAGATACGTAACCTTTGTTTCGAGAAACAACAGACACCAAAACGGATTAGCAAATGCCATATCTATTCTTGATTATATTATGTCCACCATTCTTCTATTGTTTGCCCACGTAAATCGCAAATCAATGAAACCAAGATTCACATGATAACAGAAGTTCAAGCAATCTTGAAAAGCCTTAGACCTTGCCTAGGATAAAGGTTACCTTTTTTTTTTGAACAGACCTAAATATTTCATTAAAATTAATTAAAGCTAACAAAAAAAAGTTACGATGATAAGCAACAATCTTTAACTTATCCCAAACCAAATTCCTCTCATTATATTTAGGTCTTGCATAAATTGTAAAAAGTAACCAAGTAAGGTTAGAGGATTTTACCTTTACAATGGCATGGATATTTTACTCCGTGGCACATATATTATCTACTCCTACTAGGTCGTACCTCTAGAGCAACCAAATTTCTTTTTTGTAGCTAATGGTGATTGTATCCTTCTAAGTATCAAATGAAAGTCTATCAATGATTTAATGAACATTATCCCTTCTATCTGGAGTTTCCATGATAATCATAATATTTAGACTATGTAGGCCAAACAACTCCCATGATGTACAAATGAATTTAGGATGCCTAACACCTCTAAAATTCCACAGAAGAGCTGGCATTGATTTGGTTTATGTGTTGGGTGGCTCAATAATAGCCTTTGAAATTGAAAAACAAACTCTTAAGTCATTCTCCTTAACCTTGTATACCTCTTGATCTTAATGATTTGGCAAACATCTTCTTCTATAGCTCAAGTTTTTGTGATAATCATAATTTTTAGACCATATGGGCCAACCAATTTCGGTGTTGTATGAACGAATTTAGGATACCTCACACCCTCACAATTTCATAGAAAAATTGACATCGGTTTGGCTTATGTGTTAGGGTTGTTTAGTAATAGCTTTTAAAATGAAAGAACAAACTTCTAGGTCATTCTTTTCAACCTTGGATACCATTCGATCCTGTGAAATAATATGTCTTACCTAAGTAAAATGGCAAAGCTAATGTAGACACAAAACTATTTTACATGCAGTTTGGTTTTTACATTTATTATCATTGGTTGAGAGTTGCTCAACATGATTTCCAAAAGATGATTGATAAGAAGAGCTTTTTGAATAGCTAGGGTCTAGGATAAAAGGTTCATTCTTACATCTTTCTATGAAAAGTCCTAATATAGTATTGATTTTTACTTTTTTAAACTTTGCACTGATTGTGAATAGATCAACATGGGCAATGGTGGAGTCCTCTTCTCTATAACATTGACTTCTCTTATCTTAACTTGTTATTCTACCTCTGTCTTTAGTTGATATCGATCTTCTAAACCTTTCATTCTCAAGTTTTGGGTTTGAAGATGAATAGCTGACTTTCTCAACCCAAATGAAAACTTTAGGATGAAAGGTTCCCTACTTGGTTTGCCAAACGTGTTCGGGCAAACCCTATTGGCCTTGCTTGCAC